GGGGACGTGTGTGATCCCTATGGGGGACCTGGGATCCCTGTGGGGGACCGGGGATCGCTATAGGGGACGTGTGTGATCCCTATGGGGGCCTGGGGTCGCTATGGGGGACGTGTGTGATCCCTATAGGGGACCTGGGATCCCTGTGGGGGACCGGGGATCGCTATAGGGGACGTGTGTGATCCCTATGGGGGCCTGGGGTCGGCTATAGGGGCGTGTGTGATCCCTATGGGGGCCTGGGGTCACTACAGGGGATGTGTGTGATCCCTATGGGGGCCTGGGGTCGCTATGGGGGACGTGTGTGATCCCTATAGGGGACCTGGGATCCCTACTGGGGACGTGTGTGATCCCTATGGGGGACATGTGATCCCTGTGGGGGACCTGGAATTGCTATAGGGGACCTGGGATCCCTATGGGGGCCTGGGATCGCTATAGGGGATGTGGGATCCCTATGGGGGATGTGTGACCACTATGGGGGACGTGGGATCGCTATAGGGTATGTGGGATCCCTACGGGGGACGTGTGTTTGCTATAGGGGACATGTGATCGCTGTAGGGGACGTGTGTGCTCCCTGTGGGGATGTGTGATCTCTATAGGAGACGTGATCGCTATAGAGGACATGGGATCGCTATAGGGGAATGTGTGATCGCTGTCGGGGGACGTGTGATCCCTATATGGGACGTGTGCTTGCTCTAGGGTGATGTGTGCTCCCTATGGGGGACGTGTGTGCCCCCTATAGGAGACATGTGACCGCTATAGGGGACATGGGATCCCTATGGGGGACGTGTGATCACTATAGGGGACACGTGGTCCCTATAGGGGATGTGTGTGCTCCATATAGGGGATGTGTTTCCCATAGGGGACATGTGTGCTCCTTACAGGGGACGTGTTTGCTATAGGGGACGCATGATTGCTGTAGGGGACGTGTGCTCCTTATTGTGATCCCTACAGGGGACGTGTGTGATTGCTATAGGGGACATGTGATTGCTATAGGGGACATGTCATCCCTATATGGGATGTGTGATCATTGTAGAGGACGTGTTTGCTCTAGGGGACATGTGTGCTCCCTATAGGGGACACGTGATCGCTATAGGGGACGTGTGATCGCTATAAGGGACGCGCACGCTCCCTGCAAGGGATGTGTGCTTCCTCTGGGGTGATGTATGCTCCTATAGGGGATGTGGGCTAGCTATAGGGCTGATGTGTGTCCCTATAGGATGCCGTGTCTATAGCAGTGCCCTCTGCTCCCTGCAGGGGATGTCTGCTCCCTATAGGGGTGCCGTGTGCTCCCTATAGGGGTGCCACGGGCTTCCTATAGGGTCTTGTGGGCATCCTATGGAGGCACTGCGGTCTCCATAACGGGGTGCCCAGCGGTCGCTATAGGGGTGCTGTGTGCTCCTTATGGGGTGCTGTGCGCAGGACGGGTCCCACTCCGGCTGGGGAAACTGAGGCTGTGGTGGTGGCCCCCCCCGCCCCCCA